AGAATCTTCTCATAAAGGTTCGACAACAGGTTTTACCTTTTTATCTATTGTTTTATATTTTGTCTCTACAATAACTTTTGGTGCTTGAAAAGATTCAAGTATAGTATAAACCTCCCTCAAATGAATTTCCACAATCTTATCATTATCCTTTAATCCAATAGATGCAATTAATTCCAAAGAATCTTCCAATCCATTTTCTTCATAAACACCTAAAATCCTCTCATCATCTTCTAATGTCTCTAACTTGCATAGTTTCCTTTCAATACTATATAATCTTGTTCTTTCTTTTCTTTTAAAACCATTAACTTTCTTATACATAATATTTCCATTCTCAAAAATATCAATAAAACTTGTATCAAAGATACCTACATCTCGCAAAAGTACCTCCTCTTTTGTACTTCTATAATCCCGCTTTATAGTGATACTTCTCCAAAATCCTTAAATTCTTCAACAACCCTTGGCAATGGTTTCTTCTTCAACCTATCTCGATTTTGTTCATGATTAAGAGGTACTGTTAGAAATTATACAGCTTTCCTTTCATCTTCACTACGTACTCTTGCATAAGCAAAACCATCGTCAAGTACTTTTGTTTCCATCTGTGTTGCTGTAATATAAGGTTGTCCTAAAATCAATGAATAAGACGTTGTATCTTGAACAAAAAAATGTTGTTTTGTCGCAATATCTCCAATCCAAATTTTGACATCTGGACAAGCTATATATAATTTGCCTCATGTGTTATTAGCTGCTCATATTGTCCATCTATGTTCCATATTAATTGGCCATTTCCGCTTCTTATAAAGATCCTTAGACATAAGATTTATTTCAGAACCATGGTCGACTAAAGCAACAAGTGGTTCTTTTATATCTCCTACTTTTACCAATCCTTCAGTAGTTGTTCTTGTCCAATACTTTCAAGTATAATGGCTTGAAGCTTCCATTTCCTTATTACTATAATCTTTAAAACGTACTCATTGATTATACCCATTTTTTTTATTTATTGATTGCTTGTAACCATTATCAATCTCTTCTTCATCTTTATATAATCTTGCATCAATAGCATGACTCATTCCACCTTTACCCATTAATTACTTCTTTCGCTTAATATTATCAATAATAACATCATAAAACTCCTTCTTTATAATTTCCAAAATTTCTTTCAATGTGAATTCCACCTTAGCATTTAATATACATTCTTCCAACACCCCTTTCAAATTTGTTGGTGCTTCAATATTAGAAAGTAGCTTATAAGCAATTGATTTACCCTTATCTTATGTCGTATTACATGCTAACTTATTTGAAAATGCACTCGGCATCTGGTTGTGGAAGATAAAACAATGTTTTGCAAGTATCCAAGTAGTCTAGTGGGTTTCAACCATCTAAATACAAACTATTTCGGATTTCAATGTAAAAGCTTAATCCTAATAAAAAGTGCTTAGAATCACTATTTTTAATAACTTTAAGATATTATAAGCACAAATTCTTTTGTTATTTGTGAGTTTTATTTTATTTTATTTTTTTATTAGTATTATTTTTTTATTTTTTATTTTTTTTTTGTAATTTTTAATTTTTTAATTTTTAAATCCTAACCCTAGATAGCAAGCTTTGCCAAGCTGTAAATCTCAATCTCACCATCTGATTATTGTAAAACTTCTACCACTAGTGTCTTTATAAGTCTTCTAAATGTTTAAGAAGCTTTAATCTAATCCAACTTACAGATTGTAAGAAAATGCCGTAAATCCATATTGATATTCCTTGACCATTGCTTAGAAAGTTGATGATGAACTTTGAATTGTAATTTCTCCTTTTCCAACTGTTAATTCTCATTCAAACTTTTTGTGCAGCTCCGCCTTTAAGTCCCCAACTTACTATGTCAAAATTTGCCTTATTCCAACTAGTAGATCTCCTGATGTTACAGAAATCCTAAACAACTCTAATCTACCAACTTCTGATATCTCTTTACACTAATGATCAAATATCCTCTATTCATACCGTTAGATTAACACAAGTTTTTGCATGCGCTTGGCATACTCAACCATCTAGACATCTCTAAAATTTCAAATGCAGATGTTTCTCCAATTTTACAAAACAGTCAAGAGTACTAGTCCTAACTTTATTGCAAAAAAAACCCAAATCACCAATACAAACACTGACTTTAAACAACGATTGCAAAGTCCTGCCAAATCCTATGAAACTAAGTCTTACACCTTTCAAAGGAGCTTGAAGCTAGCTCTCCAATCCCAAATTCTCTATTCTTTCGTCCTAGACTTGAAATTAGAACAGCTTGAAAATAGAACTGAAGCCTCCATATTCGGGACCTCATTGGGTTGCCCAACCGAGTTAGGTCTCATATTGGGTAAGAGACTCGTAACAGGACCTGGATTGGATGTCCCCGTAATTAGGTCAAATTGGCCCTTCGCATCAAGCTCATCCAAATGTTGAATTGGTCCTTTTACTTTTTGTCTACTCCTGGTAAAAATGGCTTGGACACATTCCTCTCGATTTATTGGAGTATCTTGAGGACCTCCATTTATCTCCTCAATTTTTCCTCAGCTTTGGATCTGCTGATCTCAATTATTGAAATTGAACAGAGCATTACATTATTGGTAAGTATGCCCATATTGTTTGCAATTCCCACACTGGCGTGTAATTGTCACTCGCTCTGGCATTGAGACATTCACTAGCATAATGATCAATTTGTCTGCAACGGAAATAACAAAGTAGTCTTCTTGCACCTCCATCAGGCATATTGGGTGTCTCCACCGATATATACCTACTAGGCTTGTTCCATGTAGGGTTACAAAATGATCTTGGTTGTTCCATTGATACGGAGGGTACTTGGTTTGATGATGTCGATAGAGCATATTGTTGATGTCACGTACGGTGGTATAGCTTGCAATGGAATGACATTAATTGGCCCCTAAATATTGGCACTGGAATTGGCTAATGTTTCTAACATCCAAGATGACTAAATATTAATAAAATCTTTTTCATTTATATTTTCACCATATAGTCATGTTACAACACGACAACGTAGCCACGTATCTCCAATTACCAAATGATTGGTATAAAGGATCCACAAAGCAATCACATGTCTGTGATCTTAGTTATAAGATGATAGATCTATCATTAGATAATAAGGAATCAAAATTCATTAAGGTAGGAGTCTAATTAATAGAAGCTATATAATGATTATGGAAAAGTGTCTTCTTAGTGCAAGTGTGAGTTGTTGTGAAGTTTATGCTTAACTATTTGGATATTTTAAGAAGATTAAAGGGTGATTTAATTAAGATTTAAATAAGAACTGTAACTTATTGAACTTGCATAATTAATTCGCTTGTTGTGAATTAAAATAAACTTTCAACTAGTAGAGGTTTATTGTAGTTCACACTTTTATAATAATAGAAGAAAATTTAGATACAAATGGCCAATAATAGTATACTTCAACAAAAAATTGTGGTCTTGATAATCTAATTAGCAGTAATGCAATATCAAAATAAAGTCTTGGACACAAAACATGTCTAACTTGTAATTGCTTGTAAGAGGGCTCATATTCATTATAAGTTTATCATGGCTAACATAACACATCTTAAGAATTAGATTGGAAAAATTAAAATTAAGGTGCAAATACTTCATTGCCATGATAGTGATAGAACATTTAAATTCAAAACTCTCCAAATTTTATTTTATTATATTTGTACTTTTTATGTTTTGATAGAAGCTAAGTTGTATGTAATATAGTAGGATATTACTGCCAGTGCAAAATCCCTCGATATAGATTTTGCTTGCAATTCTATTAACTTTGATAAATGAAATTATGTTGAATTAATATTAAAAATTAGCATTTGATAAGAAACAAAATAATTTGGCTCTATTCAAAAGTGCTTATTAAGTCTCAATTAAACTTGTAGCAAAGTTTGACTAAGCTTCAAAGTCTAAAAGTGTAGACTAATATATATCTAGAGTTCTAAAGTTTGAATAAAAGTTACATTTTGAAGAAGTTCCAAAATGTGGATTGTAAACTTTGTACATTCTTAATCCAAATGATTTTGCTAACAAAATATTCTTTTAGTTACCATAATCTATAGAATTAATATGATGATTAATTAGATGCCAAATTATTTAAAATTAACATTGTTGATAAAAGTGTAGATATATTATATGAACTTACTAATAAGGTTGTTTCTTTCTATTTGTCCTCTAAATAACAAGTGATGTTAGTTAAAAAATGTATATCTTATATGTTGTTAGGTAAAGCCTTGTGTATTCAAGATATATTTAGTTTATTTAAATGTTTTTATTATACCTTTACAATAGTCATATTTTTTTTGAAAATATAATTTCTAATTTTGATTGACTAAAAGAATCAATATATAATTAAAGAATCTACTTGACTCTAAATAATTAAATTTTTAATTATAAACAAAGAACCAATAAACAAAGAATCATATATTTATTGACAAATTAAGAAAACCAATAAATAATTACATAAAATAATTATTTGTTTTTTTTTGTTCTAGTACTTATTGGCATGATATAAATTGACATATACAACAAGCTTATAAAACAACCTTTAACATCAGTACTAACTTTATTCTTTTCTAATTTGTCTTCATACAGAAAGTTATTTTATCTACTAGATTTGAGGTACATTTTTTGGAAGTAGTTATATCTACTCAGTTGAAAGAAGAAGAGGGTAATTATTTGGTTTGCTAAATTGGAGGCTCTATTAGTGCACAAATATGAAGCTTTTACAACTTATGTTAAAATTATTACAAAATTATGATATAACTTATCTGGAAGGGAGATGTAGCCATGAAGATGAGATTCAGTCATGCCCAGTGAGCACAAGTTTAAGATGCCATATGTTTAAGCCGTGGTAAAAATTGAACAATCATCTAATATCTTGCATAGAAAAGAATGAATTCAATTGACACTTGCAACTGGCCACTCAGCTAATCCCTTAATAAAAGGGCTCGTTTTGCATGAACATACACTTAAGCTACTAGCAAGAGCCAAATACTAGCAAATTCTCATTAAAATCCAACTGCAAGTAGAGCCTCGAGCGTCAAAACTTGGATTTGGCTATCGAGATAATTACTTGTAAAGAGGAAACCGAAGACGCCGTTACGACTCACAAGGTAGATACGACTAAGCCAAGCATGACATCAAACTCGTAGTAATTCCTCTAAAGTTGAACAATTATCATAATGCAGAATTCAGAAAGCCACAGCGGGTAAGAAGGAACTACAAACCTAACGCACGGAAGTTGGAACACAGGTATCGGGTTTGCGTGCCTGCAGTCCAATTTGACGAAGCGGGGAATAATCTTATGCTGTCGCGCAGATGCCGAACAACCTCGTGGAACGACATTGAACATACGAGGATAGCTACTGTAATCTATATTCGTTCCAACATCAATCAAAACAAGGTTTAAAAGCCCCCGACGCCCAAGAATAGGAAAAATACAACTGGAAACATCTGATAGTTTTTAAAAGATTACAACTCTTACTCTTGATGCCTCCAGTATCTAACCAAACAGCCCCCCACCTCCAACCTCGGCCCTCTTAAGCTCTCGTTTCCGTTGTTCTTCTAAAGGATCAGGGCTCTTCATGAGTCGCCGTATCCGCCGGTCGTGCTCACTTCGAACTGGGAATGTAGGCATGAACTCCTTGGCCTTTGGCAAAGGAACTTCTCGAAACCAATCATGCTTGAGCGCTTCCTCAGCTGTAATACGCTTCGAAGGATCATAAGTAAGCAACCTGTTCAACAAATCAAAACCTTTCTCAGATAAAGTTGGCCTTCCTGAGAAAGATGTTGCTGGAAACTTTTCCCTCAACTTGTTATATGGTTGCTTGGTAAAATTACAACGTACACCCGGCAGTTTTACAAAATCAGGCCAAATCTTCTCGTTTGGCGTCCCCAAGGTCTTAAATATCTTATCTATCTCGTCAATGGGTGATTTTCCTGGAAATAGGGGTTCCTTCGCAAGAAACTCTGCCATTATACAACCCAAAGACCACATGTCAATCGCCGTTGAGTACTTTCTCGCTCCAAGGAGTAGCTCCGGAGCTCTGTACCAGAGAGTGACAACTTCATGTGTGTACTCCTTCAAGGGATCGCCATATTGACGTGCAAGGCCAAAGTCGCATATCTTGAGTTCTCCCCGGTTGTTCAAGAGAAGGTTTGATGTTTTCAAATCCCTATGCAAGACCCAATTGTCGTGTAGGTACTTAATACCATCAAATAATTGCAACATAAGGCACTTAACCTCACTTTGACTGAAAGGTTGTTTCATAGTTTCCATCAATCCCTTCAGATCATGTTCCATATACTCCATAACCATGAAAATATGGTCCACAGTTACGCCAACAACAACTTCCTTAACATCGACAATAGACGGATGTTGAAACGATAGCAAGACATTAATTTCCCGCAAAGAAGTCATAGGAAATCCTGATCTTTCCTTCTCCATCTTCACCTTCTTTAACGCCACAAGTTCTCCTGTTTTCTTATCTCTTGCACGGAATACGACGCCATAAGTGCCTTCATCAATCTTGTTCAGTTTTTCGAATTCATCCACTGATCTGCAACCTTTTAACATGTCAATCGCACGATGCTCCGGGCCGCTTGAGACTGGAACTTCTTCTGGCTCTGAATCAACTTCTGGCTGCTGCTCCTCAATGTCCTCGTTTCCGCTGTCTTCATCGAGCTCTTGCAACTCTTTCTTGTTCAACTCTCTCTCATACTCTTCACTATCTTGAAAAGTTTTATCTTGTCTGTATTCGCCTGGTTCAGGTGACGTACTTGGAGATCTACCTTTTTTGTCACTGTCTACGCTTCTGGACCTCTGAACGCGAGCTTTCGAAGTTGGCAGAGTGGGAGTACAGCTCTGCTCTGGACTGTGAGTATCTTCAACCCAACGTGAGCGACCGATGGTTACAGGAGTGGGAGTACCCTCATCGTGTTTGCTAATAAGCATTGGACTGTCCAAAAGCTGACCTGGTTCGAGAGTATCATCTGAATCGGGCGTGCCAGTAAACCTCTTCACGTCTTGCATGTGTACATCAACGCTTTGAACATCCTTTTCACTGAGATTTTGCACAGCAGCCGGGGAACCCCCCGCAGCATCAAAAGAGGAGGACAGGGAAGATGGCGAAGAAAGAGAATGACTCCGTGGACGAGGCGCAGAAGGGTTTCCATTCGCAGCCCCTAAGACAGAACCAATCTGGTTGACATCAATACCTCGGCTAGAAGGACGTGGGGAAATAGACATCCTCTCGCTCGATCTATTAATTTCCACTTCTTGGCCACTCGGACTTGAGGATGGGGACTGCTTCAACCCCGGTCTTTGATCCGTCACGCGACCAGCCAGACTGGGAGATACCGTGATCTTCCCTTTTAAACTAATCTGTGCCCTTACCTGTCCGGAAGGACTCACTGTCGAGGATAGTCTTCCCACTGCTTGAACAGCAGAACTGGATTTATGAGGTGCTTCTCTCACAGGAGATTCTGTTGCATTGGAGTCTGGATTTCGAGGAGGAAGTTTAAGAGAGGTAGGTGGAGACGAACTATTCAATGATCGCTGGTGTGGACGGGAGGGAGAATTTGGACCAAACCTGGTCGAAAGATGAGGTGCTGCTTGTGACGTTGAAACTTGCTTTCCAGTTTTTGAGTCGTCCAAGTCCCAAACTATGGGGTTAAACTTGCGTTTCTTCTCACGCTGTATCCCTTGGTTAGGGATATCGCCAGTACTTCTTCCTGCCTCCGTACCCACTTGACTAGCATTATTTGAAGGTAGACCCCGATGATCTCTTAAGCCAATTTCTCCACCTTCCCTCCGACTTGAAATTGTAATCTCCCCAGGCTCTCGGTCGGCCACTCTACCCCGTAATCGGCCTCCACGTTCCATGTCGCGCTCTCTGTCCTCCTCCTTGATCCTTCCTCTCTCTCCTTCCAAAATTCTGATTCTCTCCCTCTCATTGTTCCTGTCTCTATCCCCTCTATCACTCTGTCCCTCTCGCTCGCGGTCGGTAATCCTGTCCTTGTCTCCTCTTTCTCTCTCAATTATCCAATCTGCATCCCGCCCACGACGCCTGTCATCGCGTGAATGCAACCCCCTGTCCCAGTCCCGATCAGGAGGTAGGGAACCGCGGTCCCTGTCCCGCTCTGCCAGGCGGTCCTTCACACTATCTGAGCGATCGCGATCACGGTTAGGCGAAAAAGGTGGCGTTCGGCCCGGAAACCGCAAGTGCGAAGACGGCAAAGGCATCGTGCACTCGCTCAACTTCAGACGACCTCTCCAGTGCCCTTAAAAACCCACACAAATGACTTGCTCCACAAAGCTCTAAAATAAATACAAGTGTTTCCTGCTTAAACTTTGCATCACCAAAATTACCCTCACGTCCTCCACAAGCAAACCCTAATCTCAAACATGAAACTGCACCGCAAACTATATTACAACAGATATGAACCCCTTATTTCACCAGGATGATGTAATTCGAAAGCATTCGAAAACAATCTCAAAATCTAAAGGTATTTCAACCCAGAAAGCGTAAATCATGTGCCAGCAAGCACAAAACCCTCCACGGCGAATCCCAGAATCAAACAACCAAATTCACCATTGACCAAATTCGAGCACAACTTCACACCCATCGACTCGGAAATGCGACTTCAAACAGAGACGTTACCATAATTGGGCTCCTCGCAGATGACCGAAATCCCACAACTCGCGAAACTTTCGAAACTGTTAGAAAATGTGAAATGAAGCTGTGCAAGTCTTCGACAACTTGAGCTCCTCGTGAAGGCGTGAGAGGGTGGATACCGAGTGGAGCAAGGATGGATGACGTTTAAATGCAGCTTTCACAATTAAAATATGGATGAAACCTGTCGATTAGTTTAGTACAAGAGTCCACGTCGGCAAAACTCCAACAGAAATATGCCAGCTCGGCTAATGCTCCACGTCATGAACATCATTTCCCGTCATTCTTCTTTCTTTTCTTCTTCTGCTGCAGCTCTTAGAACCCTCCTCTGTTTGACTCGGTTCCAGTCCCATTACTCTTTCCTGCCCTAAGCCCGCCGCTTTCATCGCGTATTTTAAGAGGTGAGGTTGAAGTGTATGTTCTGGCTGTTTTTGTTGTTATTCTGACTAAACATTGCTGATGTTTGGATCCAGGATGTGTAAGTGAGGAGGGTTGGAGCGTGCAATTTGAATGGATTGTTTACCCATAAGAATGCGTAATTCCTTGGCTGTTTAGGACGTGGTTTAGGGTGGAGTGATTTGCTATGGAAGAGTGCATGCCAGAAGGTGAAGTGGACAGCGTAATGGTTGCTGTTGTTGACTGACGTGATGGTGATTTTGCTAGGTGTTGGTGTTTTTTCAAATGGACGCAGCATTAGGGAAGGGTACAACTTGTCGCAGGAATGTGTCGGCAAATGGTCACTTCACTAGTTGAGTGTCATGAGTGTATGCATGAGAGAAGCGATGGTGATAATTGCTTCGCATGGCTCGCATCTGGCACTGTCCCTCGATTTCCACAGTCAATCAGACCTGCTGGCTACTTCTGCTGCTGACCACGACATGAAGGTGATATTTTATACTACATTTCAGATATAAGCTTCCGCAACCTGGTAACTTCTTGCTCTTAGATCAGCTCTGATCTTATCATGTTGATATCACAGTACACGTGTTAATAGAATGTAGAAGGATTCTTGTTTGCAGCAGTTCCTTCTCCCTGCAAGGATGGAACATTGCTAATCCAATTAATAGATGAACGTTTTTTTATAGCGTACGTTGTACGAATATCACCAAGTTTTCGAATAGTACCACTTAGATCCACAGTACCACTTATTTGTCTAGAAATGGTAGTTATTTGTCCGCCGGAATTTTTCCTGCATCAGTACTTTCTAGAAGGTCTCGTGTTGCAATTGAGGACAACACAATTTGGGATGTGCAGTGTGCTTGGATTCAGATCATTGTTTAGTTCAGTGAATTCATTTCCTGGAGGCTGAAGTATGTGTCTTTCTGCAGGTGAAGTGCTATAATTTCTAAATGGCCATCTATGCTCTATCCAAGCTTTTGCCTCGTATCCTCCCGGGGAGTTTTTTAGCATAAATCCGTCCGGATCGTACTTGCCGGATGTATTAACGCCAACTGGTTCTGAGGGACAAGAAAAGAAAGTTCGCAATCGGCTTGAACAGGTTAGCTTGCCAACCAGTATTATCCAAATAGGTTACAACTTTGCACCAAATAGCTTCTATGATGTGCTGATACTCTTAAAGTAATTGTTGATGGTGGAATTAATTCATAATTAGGCAGATTCTGACGAGGATGATTTCTTCTCTTTTGCGAAATTCCCCTTCCAGCCACTAGCTAGCCAGTTGAAACTGTCCGGTTCTGTCTAGTCCAATTTCCTGTACCGGTGAGTGAATCCGAAGAATTAACTAACTCTGGTAATTAATCTTTTTCACGTTGAGCTCCTCGTGAGGCGAAGTCTATACTTTTGTTTGCCCAATATCACTAGTCTCCGAAGAGATAGTCTGGAATGCGTTCATTTATGAGATTCATTGAGAACTATGGCGTAATTAAAGCTTAGCTTGTTGGCATTGTCTCGTAGACTTCGGGCTTCCATTCCTATTTGTGTTCACAGTGGCAGTACGTGATTCTCTTCATTATGGCGCACAACACAATTATCCAATTTCCATCTTTACCGGAATCCATTATGCAATTTTTTTTCTTTGCAGATTCAAACTTTTGGTCAATGTTAAAAGAACATAGATTTTTTACATAGATTCAAATATACTAAAAAATGCATCTAAGGAAATTTTGAAGAATGATAATCACCAACTTTATATGAATTTAACTCAAGTATATCAGTTCACTAAAACACATATTTCATAGTAAATATGTTAATCAATGTTAAAATAAAAACAACCTATCTTTATTTTTTATAATTTTTATGTATTTATTTTATTTATTGATTTTTAATTGATTATGTTTTTGTTTATTTAAAATAATCATATCTACTTTATCTTGAAATCAAATTTACTTTATAAAAGATTATTTTAAATTGGAAGATTAAAGTTTTATATATAATTTAGATGTAAAAAAATATATATTATAAATCTACTTCTTTTTCTAATAACAATTTAAATAATATGAAAAAATATAAATAAATAAAAGTAGACTACTTTAATAACAGTTCATGAATAATCTTTTCTGGAGCTTGATAAATAGATATTTATTTTCAAACATATTTTTAGATGATTGGTAGGTTGAAAACTACATTAATAAGTTAGTCACATGTTGCATGTGTATTAGTTATTTGTAGTGTAAATTGGACATATGGCACGTACATATGAAACTTGTTTTATAAATTAGTCATGTGTTTGGTGAATTTAATAAATGTTTGAGGTTTTCTAAAGCATTGTCATATAATTCTTATAAATAATATATATAGATGTAAGAATAAAGCATTTTTTATTCTTGTAAATTTTTAAATTTTTTTTATTTAAATATATTTTTAATTTTTTTTAAATATATATTTATTTAGTTAATTTTTAATCTATCTTTAATATATGTCTTAATTATTTATTTACATTCATTAAAGATTTATCTTTAATAGATTGAAAAGATCATATTTTTATTATTATAATTTTGTTGTTTTTTGATTAAAAATAGATTATTATTATGATTATTATTATGATTATTATTATTATTTAAAAAATATACAATCATATCATAAACTATAGATTATTTATTTTTTTCTATATATATATTAATAATTATTATTTAATATGAATAAATAAAAATAGATAAAAATATATAAATTTAATAATATTTTGTAGATGTGTTTTATAGATGCAAATTTGTCTTTATACATATTTATAGTTGATTGATAAGTTGAAAACTTGGTCAAAAAGATGGCTATGTATTATGTATTTTAGATACATGTAGTACAAGTTTAATTTGTGGTACATATATAGAAAGTTTGTCCTGCAAATTAAACATGTATCATGTAAGTTGGACATGTGTTAGAAATCCTATAGAAAATTCTTATCTAGCTCCAAATTAAATAGTATATTCAAAGACAAGGATGAAGCCTTTGTTACTTTTATCAAATCTTTTTTTTGTTTAAAGTTTAATTTCAAGAATTTTAATTTTATAGTTTTTAACAATAGCTATTTGAATTTCTTTTTAAATATATATATATATATATATATATTAATTTTATTTAAAAAAACATTTCATTTATTTTATTTTATTTTTAAAATTCTTGTCCTTAAAAAAGTGATATAAAGACATTTAAATATGAAAATTTTGTATTTTTCAATAAAAAGTAGATTATTTATTTTTCTTCATAAAAAATAGTAGATTAAAATTTATAAATTACTATCACCAATATTTATATTCATCTAAATAAGAAATATATAGTGTTGGTTGAAAAATGAATATAAATAAATTTAATATTATCTTATGGCAAATTTTTTTAAAAGCTTTATAGATGTGTATTTGAGTTTATACATATTTATAATTGATTAGTAAGTTAAAAACTTAGTTGATAAATTAGCCATATATCATATATGTGAGTAGCTTGTAAAAAAAACTTACAATATGGCATGCATATAAGAAACTTGCTTTAAAAAATTAATATACATATCTTACAAATTAAACATGTGTTGAAGATTCTATAGAACATTATCATGTAGTTGTTAATTAGATAATATATACAAAAGCAAGAATGAAATCTTCATTCTAAATAATGTCTTTTTAATCCTTAGTTTTATTTTAAGATTTTTTAATCTTCTTATCTTTAGTAATAATTATTTTAGTTTAATATTATAGTATCTTTAGGTGATTTTTTAGTTTATTTGAATGACACAAGAATTAATTGATCTTTTAATTCTTTGAAATTCATATCTTTGATAATCTGACAAATATCTTGATTTACTCTTTTTTTGTTTTACAAATAAGTAAATTATCCTAATTCTATTGTTATATTTTGAAGATTGTAAACTATTTATTTTTAAATTAATTTTTAGTTTTTAACTACTATTTATTTTTCTTAAAGAGAATTTTAAATTCTTTGATTAACGCAAATTAAAAAATCTTTTAGATTTCAATCAATCAAAGGTTTTAAAACTTATTTTTTAATACTCATGTACTTCCATCTTTTATTTATTTATTATAATAAACCAAAATCTATCAAAAAACTTTTTTAATAAAAATAAAGTATAATAAGATTTATGCACTTAGAGAATTATTAAGACTTGTATCCAATACTAGATTTAAATTATTAAGACTTGTATCTAATACTAAATTTAGCCATCTTATGTACTATTATGGTATAATACAGTTGTATGATAAAAGATAAAAATATGGATTCTATTATAAAAGAACCTAATTAAAAGATATAATAGCAAAATATAAATAAAAGATAAAGAGATAGTAATTCTATCTTTTTGTAAAAAAACTTTATTTATTTTGTACAGCTATAAATAAAGAAAAATAAAGTAAATTAAAAAATTAAATTATATAAGCATTTTTTAAAAAAAAATGTGAGAATTGTTTAGCAAACATTACTTTAAAAAATCAAGAATTGATACTCAAAGAGGACCAAGTATAAACCAAAATTGAAATCATATGCTAAGACACAAAATCATGCATTGAGAAAAATTCTAGGATTATTTAGTTAATGAAAGAGAATTGTTTAAGTACAAACTAAAATAATAATATAAATGCATTGACTTTGAGTGATTTAATATGAGATTATAATATAATATAGAGATGATATAAGATGATTTGAATATAGTTAAAATATTGATTGAATATAGTCAATATATGATTGAATAAAATATATGCTATATAATATTATATATGAGATATATTACATATGATTATATATGGTATATGATGTGTATCACTAAATTGACTTGTTTATGTATTTAACTCAAAAATTTACTCTTATTATACTTAAAATCTTAAGTTTTAAGAATAAATAATAGAATTCTTAGATAAATAAAATAATAGGTTGCTAGTAGCAAATATATAATTTAGGATAGAATTTATTAAGACAGATTTTCAAAATGAATAGGTTTTTTTTTTAAGTTAGTTAATATTAGATGATGGTTCAATAGAAGTAGTTTTTTTGTTGTGGATTCTTAATTGAGATAAGAAGCTAAAAAAGAATGGTTAATTTAAACCAATTTTTTTAAAAAACTTTAGTTATTGATAATTCAAAAATATATATATATAAAAATAGAAAATTAAATTAGAAGTAAAATCAAAAGAATAGAAATTAGAACAAATTAATAGAAGAAGGAAAATTAAGAAATGAAAAGATAAGAAAAAAAAATGGAAGAAAAAAGAGAGAAGAAGAGAAAGACAAGCAATATTTGGCATGAGTGGTGACATTTTTTTGAAGTTGGTTTGTGATCTATCAAGAAAAAAAAATTACATTGAGTAGTTGGATTTTTATTTTTTATTTTATTTTATTTTATTTATTTATTATCAAGGATCTTTTGGATTAATCATCAAAAATAGGAATTTATTGCCACCTGATTATTTGAGCTTTCATGTTATTGTTTTCTTATTAAAATTGTTAAATTTTTGATTGTTGTGCATGGTTGTAATTCTTGTTGTGAAAAGAACAAAAGAGAGTGAGGATCTATGAAGTCAATTTTTGGAGGTTTTTTAAGTGGCATTATAGTGTAGAGGTCTTGTAATCAAGCACTACATTTAGGTACTACATGCAACACATTAAATATACATTAGTTGATTAGTAGATTCTAATTTTTTTTGTTGTATATAGTCAATACTTGAACGTTTGGTATGGTGTATTTTTTTTTCTAGTTCCATCTTTGATTTACAAGTACTTGCCTTCACTTATCTTTTTGATAGTTGTACATGATTATATTATTTTTATTACAATAGATTAAACAAAGGATAGATTTGTGTGGTGAATCTGCTCTCGTAGAAGTTTTTGGAGTCGCAAGAGCAATCAAAGCTACATGCACAAAGAATTATATATAGGATTAAATTGTGTTTGAACTTTTAGGTAGTTGAATTTACACTTTGTTGCTTCAAATCTAGACTCAGATCACAATTGTATGGCAAGATTGAATCATAATTATAGAATTATTTTGACTTTGTATTAGATTGATATAAAGATCTAATTTTCCATGTAATTGAATTACTAGTTTCAAGTTTGATTTGAGGTTTTCAATGCCACTTATTAAATTTTTATTTTTTTATGTTGATATTTTGAAAAAAAATTAGATCTCATTATTAGCTTTTTAACAAGCTTCAGCTTATAAGAAGAAAAACTATAATGAGAGAAATCCATGTAAGTTTATAGGAGGGAGGTTATTGAAATTTTTGTGGCAACATGATTTAAGACTAGTGTTGTGATGTAACATGGCTAATAAATAAAAGAGAGAATTAAAATTATATTATAAAAGATCTTATCTTAAAATATTATAAAAAATTATCTTAAAAAATAGGTAATAGTCAAAAAGATAGAAAAACTAAAAAATACTATTACTACCTTTTTATAAAATATACTTCTATTATTTTGTAGGCCCCTAAATAAGAAAAAATAAAATAGATTGAAAAAT